GACCCCCGGGCTCGGATCCTCTCCATGCCGGCCTCCCCATGCCCCGATCCCGTCCCGTTCCTCCCCGTTCCCGGACCCAAACCCCGCCGCATTCTCCTTGGTTCCCCCGGTACCCGCACCCCATCCTGCCCCGGTCCCGGTCCCGATCCAGCCTCAACCAACCCGCCCACCTCCAATTCCTCCGCCCGGCCCCGAGTGCTGATCCTCGGGCTGGGATCCCCCCAATGCCCTGATCCCGTCCCGTTCCTGCCCCGTTCCCGTTCTCGGACCCGAACCCCGCCGCATCTCCCCGGTACCCGCACCCCATCCTGCCCCCGCCTCGGTCCCGGCCCCGGCCCATCCTCAGCCAACCCTCCCAGCCCCAATTCCTCCGCCCGACCCCGATACAGCCCCTCTGGCCCCTGACATCCCTCCCCGGTGCCGCCGCTCTCCCCGCGGCCCAGCCCCGGTTTCCATCCGCCTCCCAGTACCTGCAGGTTCCGCGTGATGAGCTGGTATTTCTCCTGCGGGCCGGGCGCGGGCTCCATGGCGGCGGCTGCAGGGCAGGACACACTGTTACCAGCGCTGCGGTTACCCGGTTCCCCCCGGTTCCCCTCGGTTCCCCTCGGTTCCCCCGGTCCCACCGACCCGCCCCGGGTTGCATCAGCCCCGCTCGGCGCTCCACTGCCACCCCTGAGCCTGCCGAGCGCCGAGCTGCCGATGCCACGAGCGGGAGGAAGCGGGGTGAGCGCTCCTCCAATCAGAGAGCGCCCCGCGCGGCGAGGAGCCCGCGCTCCGCCAATCAGAGGGCGCCTCACGGTCGCGGGGGCGTGGCCTCGGCGCCGTTAAGATGGCGGCGGGTGAGCGCTTTCCCGCCAGGCCGGGCCGGGCCGCGGCCGCGGCTTTCCCTCAGCGCAGCTCAATTCCCCCTCGTTTATTCTGCGGCGGTTTTACCCCTTGTTTTTCCCCCGGCTCGGGGAGCTCCCCGTGTTGGGGTGGGCCGGGAGGAGGAGCCGCGGGCGGGGCGGGCTGGGCCCCGCCTTGGGGCGGTGCCGTTGAGGCGCCGGTTGGGCGGTGCTCGCTGAGGGGCGAGCGGGCCCTTGACGGAGAGAGCGGGGCCTTAGCGCCTCCTGAGGGTTTTATCTGCGCAGGGAAAGGCTCCAGGGTGAGCCCAGTGCGGGATTTTGGTGCCTGAAGGGGTTCTGAGAGAGTTGGGAAGCGACGTGGGATAAGGGCCAGGGGGGACAGGATACACTGGGAAAAATTCCTCTGTGAGGTCAGATTGCTCAGAGAAGTTGATGCCTTGTGAAGGCTGACCAAAAAGAGACTAGGCAGAGTTAAAGAATAAAATAGGGATTTATTAAAAGGTCCCAATGGTTCCACCTTGGGCAGCACAAGGCAGTGCTACACACCAAGGATTTTGTGTGTCTCAGTGACTAATTCCCTGACAGGGTTCCTTTTTGCTCAGTTTTTCCCAACCCAAAAAATAAGATTAAAAAAAAAGAAAAAGTGTTTATTTGTATCTCTGAAGGGCGGAAGTGGGGGGTTGATTGAGACACTTGCAGGTTTTATTTAATGCCCTCAGGCGTATTCTGCAATTTAAGGCTGTGATTTGGGATTGCTGGGGTCTGCTGTGGGGGACTGGCAGCAGTCTGGGAGGAGAGGGCACAGCCTGAGGAGTTTCCAATCATTGGGGTTTCCACTGCTTGAGGGAACATGCGGGGATGAAGGATTGGTTGGCCCCTAAAACAGTCAAGAACAGAATGATGGCTTTGTTAAATTCCAGCATTTTGGCTGAGCTCCTTTCACTGAGGATGTTGCTTTTGCTGGCAGGTTGGAGCTGACTCCTGCTGATTCCTCCTCTGGAAGGGCTGATCAAAGGCCAGCAGCAGCAGCAGATGAGCCTGTAGAGCTGGAAGCAGAGCTGCAGGGAGCCATGGCAGACAGCTGCCCTCCTTCCCCTGGCCTGCCTCAGGGGTTCAGGCAGGAGCCAACCCCCAGGGCCAAGAGGCTCTCGGATTCCACGGTGCAGGTGCAGGCCCTGCAGTCAGCCAAGAAAGCCTGTGTGCTGAGCCGTGACTGCAGCACTCCAAATCCAGCAGGGAATGCTCTCTTCCCTTCCCCAGGCTCTGGCTGCTCCCCTTTCCTGGATGAGAGTGGGCAGGATGAGCTCGGGGCCAGTTTTTCCCTCTCCAAATACGACGACGTGGCCATTTCCCTGGACATCAGCCGCTGCTTCGACGACAGTGAGCTGGACGACTCCCTGCTGGAGCTGTCGGGCAGCGAGAAAGGGAATTCTCCCTTCAATTACACCGAGGAAGAGATCCAGGAGATCTTGGCAGACGATTCCCTGGAAGCTGAGCAGCAGCACCTCACTGCTGAGAGCCACCTGAGCCAAAGTGAGAGTGGCAAGAGCGAGCAGGCCGACGGCAGCGGCTGCACCGCGGGGACGTCGCTCAGCGGGGCGGCCTCAGGGCTCACAGAGGAGGCAAAGGAACCCCAGGAGCATCCCTCAGGCAGCTCTGGGGGTGGTGGTGGCTTTTTGGGTGGCACTGCTGCTCTGGATGGGACCCAGAAGCTGCAGCAGGAGCTGGACCTCGATCTGCAGGAGCTGCTGAGCCTGAGCCTGTTCGCCGCCGCCTGCGCCGATGAGGCTCTGGAGGAAAACAACCTGGAAAGAGAAACTTTGGATGCCATGATAGATGATTGCTTAGGATATTCCACAGCTGCTGGGAGCTGCATTCCTGAAGAGCCCTCAGAAAGGGTGATGCCTAAAAGCCAGGAAAGCCTGGCTCAGGATGGCCTGGGAAAATCCGTGCCCTCGTCCGGCCTTCCCTGTGGCATGGCAGATGAGAGTCCAGCATCTGTGTTGCCACCCAAGAAAGAACTTCCCAAAGCAACAACGAGCTGTTTGTCAGAGAAATCAGGCTCTCCAGAGGATGCTGAAGGGGAATCCACAGGAGCTGAGCAGCCACCAGGCAGCACTAAAGTAAACTCACACCTTCGTTCTTGGAACTTGAATGCTTTTAACCCCATCCCTTTGGATTTGTCCACGTGCACACAAGTGCTGTGTTTATACAGGGGAGGTTTTCCAAGTGGATTTTTATAAAAGTCTATAAGCAAAACTTACCTGGAAAAGTTTTATTACATGTTAATGCCCTTTTTCCTTCCCTTTCCAGTTAAGGGACACAGCTGTAGGCCAGAGTGGGCAGGAAGAGCCACCCAGTGGGAAGAAAAGTGCCAAAGTAATTCCTGTCCCACAGGAAGAGGAAGAAAGGTAATTTCTTAGGAAATCTGCACTTCAAAAACCATCCCAGCTGTTTCCTCCACCACTTCGTTGGCCGTGTGTTGCTGGGTTTATTTCTATTTTTAAATTAAGTTGCACTGAAATAGCGGGGAAACAATAAATATTTCACCCTGAAAGAGGGGAAAGAACATCGGGAAATGGGAAAGGAGGTGGGTCAGGCAGTTTTGGGCCGTGGAGGAGGGGATGTTTGTGCCTCCCTGGCTCTGGCTGCTCCTCCCGGAGCCGTTCCCTGCAGGTGGCAGCAGCAGAGCGGGTCGGGATGTTGCTCCTGCTCTTCCTACTCTTGGAGGCTGAATATCGGGGCTTTCCTCCTCATTCTGGGCGTTGTTGTTGAGTGAAAAAGAGATTTTTCTGCTTATAGAGCTCCCTGCAGGTTCCCGTTGTGGTCAGCAGGGGAGTGACCGGCTGGGTGGCTCAGCTGCTTTGCTCTCGGCGTGATTGATCTTTGGCAGCTTTACTCAAATAAATACTTGCATTTTTTCCGTCCCAGAACGGTGCTACAAGAATGTCACATCTGCCATAGTTCTGTGCAGCTCTTTGCCCTCTCTGTCAACTGTAACCTAATTTAACAAATAACCTAAAAAACCCCAAAAAACTCACAATTTATTATTTTCCAGGCCAAAACAACGGAGCTGCATTTCAGAAGCACAGCCTGAACGAAAGAGACGTTTCTGTCCAGGCTGTGCCAATCCAAGTGAGGAAAGGTGTGGCTACTACCTCAGGTAACCCCCAGGTGGGATAGGATGAGGCCGGTGGGGAGGGAAAAATTTATCTCCTGGCTGGACTTGAATTCTTTGGAGTGTGTTTGTCTTCAGAGGGGAATAAAAAGTGCCTGTGACACTTTTGTGCACTGCCACGCACAAAATTTCTGCACAGGAATCAGCCTGGCTCTAGGGCTGGCTCAGAAGAGTTTTACAGATACCTGGGAAATGTTGTGAAGGTGTGGAAAATCAGGAATGGTACCAAAGCAGGTTTGTATTCCCTAGGAAAAGCAGAGCTGAGCTCTGCCTTGTTCTGTTGGGGATTAACTTGGTCTGGTCAGCTCACAACTATCCCAGAATCATCAAAATTGGAAAACACCTCCAAGAACATCGAGTTCCCACCTTATCACCAGCCCAGAGCACCGAGTGCCACCTCCAGGACTCCTCCACCTCCCTGGAACCTGTGAACTCACACTGGGGGAATCCTGAGCTCAAGTGCTGGGATTTGGACTCAGACTGGGAATCTTGAACTCAAGTGCTGGGATTTAGACTCAGACTGGGGGAATTGAGCTCAAGTGCTGAGATGTAGACTCAGACTGGGAATCTTGAGCTCAAGTGCTGAGATTTGGACTCAGACTGGGAATCTTGAGCTCAAGTGCTGAGATTTGGACTCAGACTGGGAATCTTGAACTCAAGTGCTGGGATTTAGACTCAGAGTGGGGGAATTGAGCTCAAGTGCTGAGATGTAGACTCAGACTGGGAATCTTGAGCTCAAGTGCTGAGATTTGGACTCAGACTGTGGGAATTGAACTAAGTGCTGAGATGTAGACTCAGACTGGGGGAATCTTGAGCTCAAGTTAATGAGATTTAGACTCAGACTGGGGAACTGAGCTCAGGTGCTGAGATTTGGACTCAGACTGGGAATCTTGAGCTCAAGTTAATGAGATTTAGACTCAGACTGGGAATCTTGAGCTCAAGTGCTGAGATTTGGACTCAGACTGGGGAATTGAGCTCAAGTGCTGAGATTTGGGGTTATTTTTGACACCTCTCTGTGTTGCCTCAGTGGTGTCATCCAAGAGCCAGCGACTGTGGGGGTGTGGAAAGGAAAGTGTTGCAAAGAAGTTTGGATTTCAGCTCATGGGGGGCGGGGGTGGTGCCAGATCTTTTCTGAGAGTCTGATATAGTTTGGATTTTAAAAACAATGACTCCCCCCTGGTAAGATCTCCCCAGTTTCTCAGTACTAATCCCAGGGGATTATCTCTAGGGATATTATTACTACAACACTCGCAGGAGAATGTACACCCCATATTTTAACAGTTATGAGTAGAAATTAATTTTAACAGTTAGAAATTAAGGGGAAAACAAACAGGGAGAGGGTTTTCCAGATGCCTTCTGTCCCTTTGTGGTCACCAGAAACTGAGGCCTTGTGAAGGCTGACTTAGAACAGAGGCTGGACAGAGTTAAAGAATAAAGTAGGGATTTATTAAAGGCCTCAATGGCAATTTGGGCAGCACAAGAGCACAGCCAGGGCTACGCCCGAGATGAACCAAAACAGACACAAAATGAACACCTAGTCACAGAGTCTCTCACTTTTATAAATTCTGCTCCATTTGCACATTGGAGTGAATTATCCAATTATAGCTTTAGGCTATGAAGTCCCATCCTGCTTGTTCTTCTCTCT